CCAAAAGATCAGAGACAGTGAAGATGGGTTAGGTTCAAAGGTTTGCCAGAATGGAAGTTATTGAGCCTTTAATGAGAGCAGTTTCAGTTGAACACGGGGCAGAAGCCAGACCAGGATGATGCCTACAATGAAACTGAGGGAGAGGGTCTCTTGGTGAGGATGGCAAAGACTGCATCAGGAGCCCAGGCAGCCAACAGAATCACTGTCCCTTGGAGATCTTCAGTAGTCAGCTGGACAGGGGTCTGAACAACCTGATCTGACAGTGAAGTTAGCCCTGCACTCAGCAGGTTGTGCTGGAGACCTCCAGAGATCCCTTCTAGCCTGTATCACTCAACAGGATGTCATATTAACTGACTGACCTTGAGGGGGGCAGCAGTTGGAGCAACAAGCACAGTGTTTTATGGTGTTTTGTTAGATGAGAAAGACTATAGTTGCGAGACTGTTGCAGGTTAGATTCCATTTTTTAAGCTTGGTGAATGCTGACTCCTCAGATAGGTATAATAATAACTTTTATCTTACCACTGAAAATTCCCTTTACTTGATGTTTTAAGAAGAAATGTCTGATACAGCGGAATAGAGTTTGGTTGGCTGGCTTAGGTTTTTTCACTTGCTTAGAGCATAAGGAGTAAGTTTCCTTTTAGCAACTGTTAGAATTATCTTATATGTAAACAATTGTGTTTTCTTCTTTGGACTACGTTCTCTATATGACCTTTGTCAGTGTGAATTCAGAGCTAAAACAAAAACTTACGATGGCTTTCCTCCCGGTAGAAAAAAACCTTCATCTTAGTAGATGATCCTTAAACTAAAGATCTTACTAATTGCTACTATACCAACTTGCAAAGTTTTGTGCTAATATTTGAATTCCTGTGAGCAACATTTATCATAACTGCCTTTTAAAAAATCTATTTACATTGCTTATTAGCATACTGCTATTTTTTCCTGTCCTGTTGAACAACATTCACTTATTTAACCGGTGTATGTTGATAATAAAGCTTTACCCTTTGTATAGTTGAGAGTCTATATAGTATATAGAAAGTTTGAAGATGGGACACACCTATACCTTGGGAGATTTCTGCCTTTCTTCCAGTTTAACCTTTGTACCCCAAGGTACCTGTGACTGGTTTCCACTCATACCTTCATTTCCTTTCAGTATTCAGAAAATGGGGAATAGCTGTGCTTACCTAATATTTAAAACTCCTTGAGATTTGCAGAGGAAAAGGGCTGTGTAAGTGCTAATCATTTTACTCTTTTGTTTCTTTTTTTTTTTTTTTTGTGGGGTGGAGAGTAATATGTAAATGCGTAAATACTTGCATGTATATGGCATGTGTTTTCAAACTGGGAACATGCATATCTGGAAAACCTTCCAGTTTCATATTTTAGCTTTGTAAAAGGTTTTCTAAAATAGTAGCTTTTATTATTTAATTGTACTGCAAAAATATGGAATGTGGGTACATATATTTGGACAAGTCTTCCCTATCCTCAGGGAAGATACAGTGGAATCTGCATTTGAATCTGAAGTAAGTACTCTGCCTAGTCCTTAATCCTGCCCTCCATCCACCAACCCCATGAAATGCAAGAGCTTCTAAACAAGCTTAATGGCTTTTATGCTGTGGTTCTTCAAGTGCACCTAGTAGTCTCTGTATCTAGCTTCTGGAGGTTTTTTACGTTCCTGTGAGTTTGGGTGCTGCTATTTCTTTAGGCTCCAGCAATACAATAAAATTTTCCCTTCTAGACTCTAGTAGACTTGGTCTAGTCCACTACCACGCACGTGTAGTTTGTCTTTGTGTTCCTGTCTGGTCTGCATGCATAAGGAGTAGAGTTCATGTTGAAGTGCGGGAAAGCCCTATCCGGTTGTTGCCCATAGGCCTCCTGTTCTCCACAAAACTGTTCCTTATCTTATAGGGGTTTGTCAGTGGCTCCATGCTTTAAAAGTACATATGACTGAAGATGAATAAATATAATGATAGTAGCATGATTTTATCATTCTTTTACTGGTAAATGTCTGTTGCTAAGTGTTGAGACTCTTTTCAGTTTGGAAGACCAATCTTTGTCTCAACTACAGCAAGACTATGGAGGATTAGTTTTGGCTGGCAACAAGAAAAATGCTTAAAATGCCTAAAGGGTTAACATTAAATGCTAATCCAGTTCTACTATCTAGAAGGCTGTCATTAGTCCTATCATAAGCTTAAACTCCCAAATCTGACAGTGTACAATTGCTGAGGCCAAACTTAGTCTTGTTGCCTTACTATGAAGTCAAAGGGGTTCTCAAATGATTAAGGTGAAGGGTTTTTACTGAGTCAGTGAAAACTGCTAATATTTTGCATGATCCAAACATGGTTTTTAACTCTTTCAATGAGAAATGTCATTTATGGAGGGAGTAAGGCAGCAGAAAAGGCCCTAGAGATGGAGGCCTGCCTAGTTTTTGTAAAACATAATCATCTGATAAATTAGTTCATCACTAAAATTTTCATTTAAGAATTCTTCAGTTGTGTACTTCCTGAGCGCATACGTAAGAAAGAGGAAATGGTTTCGCTCCTCCTTATTGGAAAATATATTCAGAATCATATGTAAGTGTTGGACCTGACTGGTAGTTTCTTTATTCTTGCTCTCAAGAGTAGTTTTTAGTGCTTCAGCATCACTGTCCCATGACATCTAAGTTTTTTTCATTTTGATCACATAATCACATATTATTCATGTACCTTGTTTGGCTTGCATGCGTTTTATACTCTTCAAGGTTATCTTTAGCATATACTGTAGCCTTGCTCTTTGATAAAAGCGAGACACTTTTTTGACTAATTGAATGGAAGTTCAGGATTTTGCTTTGAAACTGAAATACTGTTAGGAATGTTATATACCCTTCCACACTTAGAAGAGAATACTGCTTCTGGCTGAAAACAGATGAAACTTCATTGATGAATACTTAATGCTTTTCTGAATAATTTTTTTTTTTAATTGATTGGGTGGGGGGGAAGCAAAAATTCATTTGTCATTGCTTTATGTATGAAATTTTTTGTAGAGTTCTATTTGTTCTTAATCCAAACAGAAAATTCACATCCTGAGAAGATTTAAATTGGACTAAGGTTTCTGAAATGGAAGAAAAGGTCACTTTGCTGCATATGGGTGTGTGTTCTGAATGTCAAATCAGGAAGGCTAATGTAGAAAGAGCTGTGCCTTAACTTGCTGAGCGTTTTTTGGTTGTCGGGGTTTTTGTTGGGGTGGTGGGGTTTTTTTTGTTGTTTTTTTGTTATGGCAGGCAATTGCATGGAGATCTTGATGGCGACATTACTTGGCAAACATTTTGGAATCAGCTCAACATGTGACATCACACCCCCTTAAGGTTTTCCACATAAAATACGTCCTCCAAAGAAAATACAAAAATTGAGACTTAATCTGAAATCTATTATTTCATCCTCTAAAGTCTCATTAGGCACCTCAGTATTTTCCCCCACCACCACCCCCCCACCTTTTTCCAGGCAGATAGACCAAATGTTACAGATAATAGTGGTAAATGTTTTATAGTCGTCTTGGAGGGAATATGGAGGAGGGGCATGGAAGAGAGTTTTAATCCCATGTCTACCCTGTTTTCACAAGAAAAAAAATACAAGGTCTCTGATGCTGAGTCTTTCCTTCTGTGCAGCTTTTCACGCTGTGTGAGCACATGTGTGTGATGTAACATTTTGCCACTTTTAGCAACTGTAGTTGTTTAGCTCTGTCTCCAAGAGATGAGTGTCTCATAGTTTTTGAGAAAAAGATAGCAGAGATGAAAACTCCCATTCATCTCAGGTTTTGGTTCCTGATACGATGATGTTTCACAAAAACAGTTCTTAGAGAAAAAAATCAGTTCTGTGCCTTGTGGGAGGACTTTGTATGTGCTTTTCTGTGTGTGCCTGTGCTTGCCTATACATTTCTGAGAAGCAAAGGGGTTTTTTTTCCCAGATGCTTTAATTGCAATCCATAAATGTGGTTGTGTACTTGGTGGGAAGCATACGTGCTATCTTTGATAGACCTGCAGGAGAGAGGTGTAGTGCAAAGGGTGAACACTGCCAAAATACGTGGAACATGATGTTACACAGGCGAAGCAGAGGAAGAATTATCTATGCATAATGTGAGTTTAGAATGGGCTTGACGTTCTCACACTGAAACATTTCCATCTGGAAGCTGTTCCTAAGTGAAAGGAAACAGAGACAATATTCTCCTATCTTCTGGAGTAGCTATCCAGGGAATAGGAAATGTTCTTTGATTTTTTTTTTTTTTTTTTCCCCCCCTCCTTAGGATGTGTTCAGTTTTACTGCAGATTCAGAGAAGCCACGGTTTAAAGTGGCTTTTTTAAAGACAGTAAATGACATCTAATTCTTCTTAATCCTTCTTCTGAGAATTGCTATTGAAAGCTTCTCACTGTGCTTAAACAAGCTGTGGTGCTTTTAGGTTACACTTAAAAATAAAGTCGGATTTATGGTTTTTATGCCAATCCTGATATTAGAACTTTATGGCATTCTTATTTTCAAAACTTGCTGTAAATTATCCTTTGCCTTTGCTTCCTCTCTCTGTATTTCTGTGGTCTGTCCAAACACCTTCTACTTTTCCTCATGTCTTTTTCTTCTGCCATAAAGGCTGCATGCATGATTTCATAATCTGTTACTTACATACTATAGTGTACACTGAGCATCTTAAACATTCTAAAAGGTTTACCTGCTTCACGTTGGTTGTAACTTTACACATTTGCGTATCTCCCTGTATTCTCTGTAGTGTAACATATCTATTGTTCTGCCACAGTGCTGAAGAATCTGCCAACCATTTGACCTACCTCACCTGCTGATGCAGATGTAGACACTACTGTTATTTAGGAGTAATTAGTCATGTTTTCACAGCTGAACTCTCAAAATACAAGTCTCAAAATATTTCTGATTTTTAGTGGATGCAGAATAAGAAGGTGGACAGATCCTTAGACGTAATGTTAAATTGTAGGTATTTCTCAGTACTATAGCAAGAGGTAACCTTACCTTTCACATTCTTGTTCCAGTAAGTTTGTAAACTCATCGCTTTTTTCCATGTATTTGCTGTGCTTCCTCTTCTCTTCTTCTAGTTCATACAGTGTCTGTCTGTGTGATTTTTCTACCATTAGAAGTTGCTCCAGCATTCGTCTGTGAGTTTCTTTCTGTTTCTCTACAACTTTATCAAGCTACGAAAAAAAGCAAAAACTCCTGAAGTCTTTTGAAACTCTTACTTGCTCAGGCTTTCATTAATGAAACATTTTAAGAGAGGCTTAATAATATAAAATGCATTTAATAGTCTAATGGCCAGGTCCTTTGGTATCTGTTTGGAAAGGGTTATTTAGTTCTGTCAGTCTAATTCTGGCAAATTAGAAAAATAAGTTAAGGTACTATTTTGCAGGACCCTCAGTCACCTTCTGTTCCTCCTCCTGCCATAACTGATTCTCAGCAGCTACTAATTAACAGTTGCTGTTCCAAGGGCTGTGCTTTTCTCATTGATCATTGTGGTGGAGAAACAGAAGAAGCCTTCTTGGCAGAAGCCGCCTTTGCTTTACACAGAAGTAGACTGACTTTTGGTTGAATAGAAATAGCTGCCTCATTTGTAGCTGCATAGGAAATGACAGCATTGAATTGTCTTTGTAAGGTAGACAGGTAGATCAAAAAGCAGTTTTCCTCTGGTTTCACATTAAATGTGTGATAGAACAAAGAGTGAAAACCAGTCCTGTCTCCTTTGCTTACTCTGAGCGTGGTTCTGGGTTTCTGGAATAAGTAAGTGCTAAATTATGAAATGGTTGGAAGTTTTTTTGTTTAACGGTGGCATTTCCTGTTTTGTTGCTCAAATTTCACACATTGTAAAGGGGTTTGCCTTGCGGATGGCACCTTTATAGCACACTTTGAACATCAAATTCCCTCCCCTTCCCAAGGATTTCTGCTGAGCTTCTAAATATTATTATATAGTGATATTTTAATTTAAATAATCTATTTTAGCTTTTGGTAATATTTATTACCACAAAGGTGTTGGTATAACTGTTCACTGGAGTTATGCTGTTAAACAAAATGATTTCCACAAACTGAGAGAAAATTATCATTCTGAGGATTCTCTTACAATTTTGAATTCAGTATGTGACTGAGTTATGCAAGTGTGTGTGTATGAAACCAGAAGGGGTTTTCCTCCTTAGGCATTACTGATCTAGTTGAAGTTTGAGGACCGCTCACTGGCGGCCATCTAAGGACCGGGAAAGAGTCTGTATTGGTAAGAATCTTTGTTCCCCGCTCATTCCCCTTCCCCTGTGGAGATTGCCTCCCTCATCAGGTCAACACAGGAATCCTCGTATCCTTTTTGGAAAAGAGAAGTTTTGAGCTCAAAGCCCAGTGCCTTGCTTTAACCATAGTCTATTCTAGTAGGTCAAGCTGCTTTGCAGTGCTTCACTCTATTAATAGGAAAGAATTCACAAATGGGCAGTGTGGGAAGCAAGGCTGGTTCTGGTTCTCTCATTTCCCCCCCAAAGAATTTCACGTGCCACAAGAAACAGTGGGACTTCAGATTCTTAGGGCCACTGCTTATTTTGGATGATTTAATTCCAAGGAGTAGGATTAATTATCTTTTCCTCATGTTATTCACAGCTTGGCAGATAGAAGCGATGACAGGAAGAGCTGGAATGCCTAAACATGAGTTTCTTGAATGAGTGAGAATATCTGCATTTTCTACATGGGCTTCTGAGTCTCCCCCTGATTACCTCAGCTTCTTTTTAAACTCTATGTATTCTCTTACGTTTCTCCTAAATCATTGTTAACTTTTTTGGTGACACTGCTATGAATAAGGAAAAAGGAACTATTGACAAGACTTTAAAGATGATTTGAGTCCAAAATATTCCAACAGAAATCTGGACCATTTTGAAAATTGCCCTTTCTTTCTGCTTATGACGTTAGAGAGTGTCTTTTCTGTTGCGACATAGCTGAGCTCATTTCATGCATGATCAAAAAATGTAAAGAAACCTATGACTGTCCCTTTTGGCTGTTTTGTGGTGCTCTTACACCAGGTTGTTAAGGGCTTTTTCATCTTGTTCACTCATTATTCGCACACTTTTACACCAGCAAGGTCAGTGCTTTCTGGAATCATGATCCTGAAGTAGGGCCTCTCTTGGGAAAACATTTCTTACCTAAACCCTTGCATATTGCAAGCTTTCTCAGTAAGCAAGAGCCACCTTGTACAGTAATCTCTTGGCTGTGTTTTCTGTGTCTTTTACAGAGGTTGAAAACTGAATTGCCTTAAAAGGTCAGGTTGAAGAAAACTGGCCATTTTTAATTTCTCCGCACTCTCCCTTCTTCCACCAGAAGTGGAAACTTCAAAATTTAAAATCTTTTGTTCAGCGACTAGCTTACCAGAATGAGAGAATTTTCAGTGTGTTTTATCAACCTTCTTCCCCCTCCAAGATTTTGGAGGGTTTTTTGGAACAGCTATTGCACAGATGCATGAAGCACCATCACCTGAGTTTCTGATCCTCGCCTTTTTAAAGGTCATGCTTTCAGGTGAATATGCTGTTCTCAGAAAACAACCTGCCTCCTGTTTTTTTGATAAAGTTCTGATGTGGTGCTGTTCATAACTATGGCCCTGTCTTTCTTAAATTGATAGGAACTGGGCATCAGCCTTGCATGATAGTGCTTGCTGGTCTCAGCTCTCAGTGTGAGGTCAGGTGGGGAAGAAGGCAAAAGTGTGAACTTCGGATTTCTTTTGGCGGGCAGGCAGTCTGCATGGATGGGGTTAAGAAAGTAAATTCATGCATTTGTATGGATTGGACCACTGCTTCAAAAGTATATGTAGGAACCTGAGGGGATGTGTAAATTGCTATCGTAAGAAAACACTGAAATTTCTGGCTACAAGCTGATCATAAATCAAATGACTCCTGTTTCCAGACATATAAATGCCTGATGGAGATGAGGGTTAGTCATCAACACAAACAACATTAGCCAAATAGAAAATAGCCCTGCTTCTGCACTGTTGGGTGTGAAGGGTGTGGGACCTGCCAGCAGTGTTTTATGGGTTCAGTATATTTTGTTTGCTCTAGAGTATTTGTTGAGTGGCGATGAGAGGTTGATTCAAGTGGTAATCCAAGCAGCAAGTATGCAAGAAGAAAGGTACTAACTCCAGGTTTTTGTTTTGCAGTTTTCAGTGAGCAATGCCAGTGGCTTTCACTTCGCAGTTGTGCTTTTGTCAGTGTTGAGATTAGCAGTTTGGATTACCAACTGGTGTTTGGAATGGGAGAGGTGTGTATTCAATGCAGGGAGGGGGAATGAGGAATTTGAAAGTGGGGAAAAGAACAGTAGTGTCCCAGGGAGACCTGCTTACATGAAAGGGTAAGAGAGACAAGTAATGAAGCTGCTGCATCAAAGCTGTTTTCATGTTACAGTCTTCTCCTGTTGCTCAGATTAGAAGATGCATTTAGGTTTTCTTTTTAAGTATGCTGTCAAATCAGTTCTACCATGAGCATTTGCAGCTGGCATGTGGCTGTTGTGGCTGGGGACAAGGTGGAGAGCGAGACCTTGGGATTCCACTCAGGAGAGAAGGGAAGAGATGCTAGGCCTGTCTCCTGGTACAGGTGGGTGATAGAGAAGAGAATCGGAGAGGCAGCAGATCCTACATCACAATTAATGCAGACACCCGAGATCTGCATGTAAGCTGCATAATGGGTATGGCATTTGCCCTTGTGACACTTGTGTTTTACTGTGCAGCATGCCTCTCCCTCCCTGCAGGACTAAGCAGAGCAGAGTCTGGTACTGGGTTGCTGCACTTCTGTGTATTTTGTTTGGAAGCTCTGTTGTGTCCCTCTGCAAGATAAGGGCACTTCCCTGGGGAGCAAATTTGACTCTCGCATTTTCCCTGTGAGATCTTGTGGCTGACTCCCACGTATCCAGCAGAGAAGAGAGAGAAGTTGTGTGAACCCCTGCTAGTGTGAGATCCTCTCACAGGAGCAGTTTCCAGCAGCCCCTGGTTCCTCAAATTACTCTGTCCAAATGCTAAATCTGTGCATGCAGAAATATCCATTTATATGTACACATACATGTTCACTCAGCATACACAGTTCTTGGCTAAAAACCGCAGAGGACTAATAAGCAGCAGTATAAATGTCTTCTGTTGAAAATTGAAGTGATAAAATCTTAATTGATTTGTTTTGTTCTTGCTAACCATATGGGCTTTTTGCTAGAATTAATACTTGAACATACTGTACAATACAATGGAAAATAAGAGGCATGGTCTTAAGTAACTGTGAATAGTTCAGCAAGCTAAAAATTCACAGGAATTTCATCGTTTAAACACATTTTGCCACCAGCTCGTGTCTGAAGTCAAATTAGGATGGCGTGTCTCATGTCTATTATGTTGGAACTGAACTTTTCATCTTTCTCTTTTTAGACTGTTTTGTGTTTGGCACTGTGCCAGAATAAAATCCAGGTTAGTTACATTTCTTCATCCAAAATTCACTGAAATATTACTCCTGTTAATAATATCCTCATGGTCATTGTTTATAAACCTATAATCTTGAGTTTAGGATTACTGGAGATTATGGGAGCAGTTCCTCCCTTGTCTTTTTCCACCCTAGTTGAGCCAAATTTCCACGTGGATATGTTGGTCTGCTTTTCCTGAATGCTGCATTGTCAACATTATTGTTTCACACTCTTCCTATGACTGTAACTTACTGATGCCCTACAGCTGTCATCGTTGGAAAGTTGTGACCAACACTTGTAAGATGTTGTGAGGATGCAATCAGATATACTTTGTTAAAAGGCTGGTGAGGATGTGTATTTCCCCGAGTTGATTGGCACTGGGATTTTAAAAATGAATTCAATTTTGAATTATCCTTGATGGATGCAGAATATAGGCTTTCCTCTGGTTTTGCTGCTTTTAGAGGAGTTCTCGAAGTGGTAGGAGGTATTGTTCATCACATTTCAAACAGTGGGGCACCAGACTTTTTTATCTTTGACTCTGTTATTGGAAGCTGGGGAGAGTTAGAAACCAAAATTGGCTTTCTAATTCTGTGAAGGTTTGAAACATGAGAAAAAGACACCACAAATTCTGCAGGGTCTTCCTCTTTCTCTCTCTTTTCCTGCATCACATTCTCTGATGGTTTTTTTATTCTTAAAAATTTGTTTATTTTTGAATCTGGGAAAATGGTTCTTACGCTATTATTCTGTATTTACTAGAATGTTGAATACCATTCATTTTCTATTCAAGGGAAGTGGCAATTGATCTGAAGCCAGAGTTTTTCATGAATAACTGACTCGATCTAAATTTATAAACCATGCAAAGATGGAAAACCTTTTCAAGCCTTTGTGTCAGACAGAAGTAAAACCAAAACAAAAGTGTTTTCTTTTAAGCCCCTTTAAACATAAAACAATTTATTGTATCCTCAAGTATGAGGAATAAGAGCAAGCTTATCTGGCATTTGTTAGGTTGCAGAAAGAAATAGCTGTAGAGAAAATTTGGCTGAAAAAACCATCTGCTTTCAAAAAAAAAAAAATCTCCTCATAGCCAAGGAAGACATGGTTTTGGTCTGTCACACTCCTCAGACGTTTTGCAAAGGAAGATGTATTACTGCTGTTTTCTATTTTGCTACATTTCTTCACCTATGAATCCTGTTCCTAGTGAGTAAAGCTGTCCAGGCACCAAATTTTCTCACTACATTCTTAACCAAATTTGCCAAGATGTGAGTTGTGAGAGAACGTTAAAGGACCAGTAATCTTACAGATGCCTTCTGAAATTCACTGTATTTTCAATTTAATTTTGGGAAGATCCTCTGTGTTCAGGGCTACAAGGCTAAATTGTCAAGGGTGAGACACATATGTTCTAGAGGAACTGGATCAGCAGAGATTTTGTAGGCAGATACGTTTAAAAAATCCAAATGAAAACTAAATGGATCTCTGACTTAATCTGGGGGGGGGTTGAAACTGAAATTGTGGAATGCCTGCCGATTACGGCATCCTTTGGTTACCAAGATATACGAAGTGCCAGTGGTCCTTCTAGCCTTTCAGTTGCTCTCAGGATGTTTACCTTTGCCTTTTGGAATTGCCAAATCCAGTGGTGTTAGAAATCCTTTCTCTGCCATTAAGTGTAAGAAGGAAAAAGCGTGTATAAACTTATGTAAAGTAACAGACTGAACTTATGTTTTCAAACTTTTTTGGACTTCTCTTCAAATCATTTCCATTTGTGCTCAAAGTTTCTGTGACATAATGCCACAATGTTCTAAAATAAATTAACCTCCACAGTTGAACTTTATCTGTTTCAGATTATAGCCAGAGATTTTAACCTTTGAGCCTCCGAAATGAGTGTTGACCTTTTGGCTGACATAATTTTCTGTGAAATGAACTCTGTATCCTTAGGTACATTTCTGTTCAGAAAGCTTGGAAAACACTTGGTAGAAGAATTTTATTCATAATTTCTGCTTTTATTTTTATGATGATTATCTATACTGAGCAGCATATTAAAAAATGCTTATCTAAATTCAAGAGGAGACACTTACTTGGGAAAAAAATGCATAGTCTGATATGGAGGGATTTTAACATCCAGTGATTTCTATTGCAGGGCAGAAATGAAATTCAGATAACATTGTTAAGAAAGTATGGCTGCTGCTGCAGTGTAATTAAACTAAAGGTTCCTTAGGTATAATATGAGAATATTAGATTTCTGCCTGGATGCAATTTCTACTGACAGCTCATTACAGTTAACTACTCGGACCAAGCAGGTATACCTGTGACTCCCCTGGAACTAGTAGGAGCTGGGATATGTAAGGGTGGACAGCTGTGCCATTACTGCTGAATGGGCCCTTACTAGCTATTGTAAGAATGGCCTCAATGAGACAAATGGGGAGGCATCTGTTTGTATGGGCTGTGAATTTGGATAACAGAAAGGAAAAAAAAGGCGACAGTGTCAAAAATAGAAGGCTGATTATCAGAGTTTGAGTTAGACAAAATCATGTCTGTCTATGTTTAAAGCCCTTAGTGCGCAGTATAAATGAGGATCGTTAGACACCTGTTTTTATTAGGGGCCCCACTGGACCCTGGACTTTGTTCTGCTGTCACTTACACTCGTGTTAGATTCTAGATTTAGAGCTCATTTGCTTTCTTTCCTGAAGTCAGTGAGATATTTTCAGTTGAATTTCGTGGGAATTATGGTTAAGTATCAATTATATGTTCATACCTCTCCCATAGGCTTTTCATAGATATCTTCTTGCCATTGCTCAGCCTTTGTTTGCATAGCATCTCGCTGGAGGGCCTCTAACACCTTCTTGGGAGTGACAAAGCCGTATTGTGCTTCAAGCAAAGCCAAGTCAATTTTTTCAGCCTTAAGTACTCCTATAACTTCATCTTGAGCCTGCAGAAACACAAAATAAGGTTTTATTTGGTTAAACTCTATGTGTGTATTTACAGGTTAGCTTTCTACTTTTGATTTTAAGAAAACTAAAAAACTTTTTAAAGAATGCTGTGTATGTAAAGTGCCCCAAAATAGTCAGTAACATGAAGACAGTTAAAAAGCATGAGGGAAATACTGGTCTTTGTATTTTATTCCGCATAAACTCCAACATCTTCAGAACACTTTGTCAGTGCTTAAGTACTTTGTTAGTGATTAAATTGTATTGCTGTTTCTGGACCAGTGTGTAGGATTCACAACGCAAAACTTCAGGGCAAAGTGTGGTATTAGAAGCTGATTTTAAATTGTTAGTGAAAGATGTTAGGATCTTGAAGCCTGGAAATGTTGCACATTCTGTATATTCTGGGTGCAAGGGTGGCTTCTGTAGTTTAAGTCCGCCTGGGGTCATCTGCTTCTGTTGTTACACTGAGCTCGTTTGAGTGGTGAATGTAGTGAGGTGTGCGGTGCAAGGGATGTGACCCTTCGCAACACACATTCCAAGGCCATGCAATAATGGCAGTTCTTTAAAAGAAGATTAATTGCCTTCAAAGCTGGTAGTGGGGTCCTGTGTGCATGCATATGTACGTGTGCGTGCATGTGTGAGACCATGCTTTATGTATTTATAGACGTGTAGATGTGCACATACTCGTGTACATGCCCTCAGGTAATAAGCAACCTTGCAGCATCAAGTTTTTTGGAAGTAACTGCTGTAAAGGTATTCTCAATTTGTGAGTGCATGTTAAAAAAAGCACTTTAAAAGATAGTGATTAAGAGAAGGTGGTGTTACCTGGTTTCTAAAAATCATGTAGTTTCAGAAAGTATAGACTAAAAATGTGCATTATACTTTTCCATTTTTTAGTGTCACTGTATTTGTTTCCTTAATCTTATAAAATATCTGATGTCATCCTGTTACCAAACAGTAGATACCATATGTTCTCAGGTACGTTTTCAGTATGTTCTTGTATGTATGTGTTTCAGAAATTCTTGCGCAAGCTGGCAGGTACACATACCTTCTTCCTGTCATACAGCATTGCTTTCTAAGTCCATGCTCTATGCTGAAGAAACATGCTGTATGTAGCTGCAGTACTTGAAGTGATCTATAGATTCTCATTGCTCTTTAAAAAAAAACAAAACCCAACCAACCAACCAAAAACCACACACACAAAAAAAACCCCCACCAAACCACCAAGAACACTCCTTTGCTATAAAGTTACTAGTTCCTAGACGTTGAGTTGGAGGGAACAGAATACCTGCTGTGAATATTGTGCTAATTGTCTCAAAGTCCCACTTCTAACGATAATGTTCTTTTATGAGAATACCTGCTTATGTGAATGTTTCCACTGCAAAGGGAACTGGTTTAGGTCACCACCTCCCCTAGGCCTGTGTCCATCTCTTTTTTTTCCCCTGCATCCTCTGGTGGTGGAGGTTGCCCCCTGCCTCCATTATGGTGACGTAATTACATGAACTGTCTCAAACATTCATTATCTGCAATGATCTCAGTTAAAAACAAAACGAAGTACGTGCTAATCCTAGAAGGGTAGAATAGGAAGGGAGGAAATCAGAAAAGGGATGTATCAGGAGAGGGTAACATGTTCACGTCAGGCTCATTGTTTTCCAGTTTCTCATTTCACTCTGTTCCAGCTTTAAATCTTAAGAATTGAAGTGTGTGGGGTTTGTTTTTTTTTTTTTTTACACAAGTGTAATGAAGTGTGTATGTAATATAAATATATGTATATATATACACACGCGTCTCTTTTTTGAGAGGAAGAGAGAACTGTTTTGGAGGAGTGTGTGACATCTGAATTTTAATCTAAATTAAGAAAGGGCAAGTGAGCAGGAGAGAAATGTTTCACAAACATGGAAATCATGCTGTTTGCATAATGAAATGTTCTGTAGAAGTTTGCCTTGGATCTACCCTCAGAGATTGGTACATCTATCAAATATTCACGTTGCATGCATGTTCTGTTAAGCATGTCTCTATTATTATGTAAATATATACACATATGTTAAGAATGGAACTACCCAGGTACTGTCTAGGTAGTAAATTCTGAAACCATGTGATACAACCATTTATGCCACTTTGGCCAGTTTGCTCTTCCCTCTGCCTGTGAGCACTTTTAAGTGGCTGTCACTGCTTCTGTGCAATCAGCCTGCCCCAGAAATATTCTCCCTGCTCACTGGAAATTTGGTTCTCACCTCCTGAAATTTCATTTGACCAGGTTAGGCATCATTTACCACCTGGCAGCTGGCTTCTTTTCCAGATAGAAAAATGCTCGCTCTTCAAAATCCAGTATCTTGCGGGCCAAGTGGCATGGAACACTTAGGCTTCATATTATGGGAAATAAAATGGCTATTTTGATTTTTCCAGCAAAAGGTGTTAGAATACTGTTGAGCGAGTTTCTTCTTGTGATCTGGCACATACTGATTAATAGGGACTAATGCTCATGACTTCATAGGAGAGGGGAGATAAGAAATAATTAACAGATCTTAAAGGTCTCTAATATGATCTCCATATAGGTTTTACAGTGACAAATACTTTGTATTCAAAACTTAGAATAGTGCAGCACAATAGGAAAATTTTGTGAGTCCTCTGCTTTGACATTTACGTGATCCTTCACAGTAGACCATGAGTGTTTTTAGTGTGATACAGGTACATTGTGAGTAAATTTTATTTGCATTTAGGGGTGGTGTAAAGATCACCTTTTCTGGCTGATAGCTATAATGATAGCTCTAATTTGTATTTTTATGTACTTTGCAGTTTATATTTGTCATTCTGTATCAAATTAGGTAGGGTGTTTCTTTAACATGAAAGCAGCATGTGTTTGTGGTAAATTGCGGGGTTGGGGAAGGGAAGTGTGTTTTAATCTGTGATATAAAATAAGACAATAAATCACCTGTAATTCACCCTCGAGGACACTAAGAAGAAATAGCAAGTCATCACGAGAGAGATCCTCTCTTTTCTTGAAAGAACTTGTTTGTTTTTTCTCTGCCTTAGGGCTTCTTAGGATGGTACTGGCTTGTGCTACATCGTCCTTCTCCTTCTGCCTTCTTTGCACGTTTCCTCTCCCACTGTAACCAACCTCTTCTTTATGGTGGTCTTTTGGCCTTTGCTGGCTCAGCTTTGGTCTGGTTGGGCTTTCTGTGCTGTTACTTCTGGAACGCATGGTTTATATCTCTGAAGCTGAAGGAAGGTGGGGAAAAAAGTAATTGTTTTAGCTAGCAGAGACTATAAAACTATTATGGTAATTTATGGTGGGTATTATTCCCTCCAGACTGATAGTTTTCCCTCCCACACAAGGCTGTTTGTTGTTTGGCAAAAGCTGACAACCTCGTGTAAGCCAACAGGACTGGGCTGTGTTCCTTACTGGATGTCTGTGGTGAAGTGAGTCTTAACTGGTCTTATGCAGTTGTAGCAATTCCCTCCTAAATATTTGCAAAGGCAGCAACTTTAGCAGCAGTACTGTGCACATCACAGCAGACTACGTGTCCCATTTGAGAGACAGCACCTAACTCACCTTTCAGGTAGATACTTATTGTGATAAGGCAAATCTAGGTTTAGAAGGTTTTCACTAGGAAGAGCTTTCTGTTCCAATTTCATAACGTCATAGCCCTTACTGGATAGCTGTGTTTTGTTTTTCTTTGTCTTTCCAAGGGAGAGCACAAAAGCGGTCCTGCACTACCACGAGTTATGCAGTTGCATTCCCCATGTTTGGCAAAATGTAGGGGTTAGCACATCCAGACTGCAAGGGGTGAGCCTCGTCATGAACACCCCTTCCCCACCCCCCATCTCCCCGCCCCAAACCAAACCACCTTGCTCGTCGTGGTGTCCCCCCTGATAACCATGTAGTATGAGACCTTACTACTTCTTTAGTGCTAGACTCTAGCACTCTACAAGTGTTAGTACCTGGCCAAGGGGAGACCTGTCCTAACTAGGCCCCTTTGAAGTGCCACTGTTAAGTAAACATACTCTAATGCCTTTGCAGATAAATGACTAACGCTGTATAAATATTGATTAACCTCAGGAACTGTTTTGCTTATCGCCACTCAGATTAAGGTATGAATGGATTATAGTCCACCTCTACAGGAAAACTGTGGTCATGGATACCGTCTAGCAGACAAAAGCCTGATCGTGTGATTCAAAGGTGAAATTAAACACGTTCCAAATACAAATAAGGCGCAATTTTTCTTATTAAACTGCAGAGCTAATTGCTGAAAGGTCCAGGAAATTGTTATGGCCTATGACAAGCAGGGGATGATTGCGCTGCTGCTTTTTGGCCTCACAAATCTGTGGCTGATAAAGTTCTTTCAGAGCTCCTCCTTCCACCAGGTTCTGATTCTAAATCCTAAACTTTGTGACTGCACTCCTTAACTGTGGTAATTTTGCACTAAACGTTACAAATACTTCCTTTTCTTGTTTTTCTGCAAGAACAGAGGAGGTGGAAGAAGCTTTTGGTTTGTAATGGATGATGGTTGAGAGTAGGGAGAATTTATCAAAAACATTATAAGAAAAGCAAGTGATGTTTTCTATAATGCTAAAGTCTCTTCTAGTCTCATTTAAAGCACTCGTAATAGCTTGTATTTCCTAAGAAAAACTTGTTTCTCCAGGTCTCCAAAAACCAAGGTGTGTCAGGTTTGTATGGAAGTGTGCACTGGAACCTGTTATGTGAAGCTGTGCATCAACAGTGTCAGGTTAGGATGGGAGAAGAAGGAAATTGTCAGACCCCCTAGATGTGGCACTATCTAAGGGACTAACCCTCAAAGTGCATCTGACATTTTGGACAGAATATCAGCTGTGTCCTGCCTTTGCACCATGGCAGAAAGACGATCTGCTCTAGTCCAGAGAATACTGGTTTTCTGCAATGTTATTAAGCCCTTGAGTGGCCCTAGTGTAACATTCAAAATAGAAGCACTGTAATTTGAAATTTTTCGGCTGTGTGTTTTGGTACGTTGGGTTATTTTCTACTTTGAACAACTCTTTCGATGTTCTTGAAAGTTAATGAAGAGCAACTTTTTTTTTTTCAAGGTAAAAATGTTAATAGGCTCATAAAATTTGTGGATATCAGTTGTCTCATGGCACTCAAAAAGGTGTCTCATCCTTCCTGAGCCCAGGCTCTCAAGATTAGACTAATAAGTGAAAAATTTGCCTTTTTGCATATCTGTGTGTCAGCCGGTTTTCACTTTAAATTATATATTGATGGGGTCTGTGTACAAGAAAGCTGTCTTGCAAAAAAGAGGTGAGGAGGAAGTGTTCCTTCTTGTAACAGGGATTGTAGTTCACAGAGTCTCTGTGGTTTCTCCTGGATGGCTGACTCTTGCATCTTCTGGCAAACTTCTGTATAGAAGCTAATTTAAGCCCTGTTTCTCTGTACCACCAAGGATGACAATATACGATACCTTAGAAAACAGTGAACCAACTGCTAAGAAAGAAGAAAGCAGGTGAGAAGATTTGGTTGGGCGTGTGTGCCTTGCGCTTGTGATCTTTCACCTGTTTTGGATCAATTACTATACAGCAGGGATTGTAGCTACATGAACAGAAGAAACAAGGATACTTGTCAGCATTCTCATGTGATGCTTTACGTACCATCTAGGCAATATCTGCTTGCATCAAAAATAAAAGAAGATTGAAAGGGATCATCCAGATCACGAAGTCACGTCTCCTGAAATCACAGACCACCATGCAGTAGGTACTTAATAGAGATTAGTTTACTGTAAGTGCACTAATTGAAGAGTACAAGGCCTGCACTATTGTGCTTTCCTTCACATTATGAGGTTTCTGTTTTAATGAAGATTTTGCAGTGGTATCTTGCTTGAAGTCACAAGGTGGTGGTTCCCAGGCTCATCAGATTCAGTGCAGCTTAGTAGACTGGTTCCAGATTCAAAATGGAGTAAGAGTAGGTTACATTGAAACATTCTGGTAGATCAAATTATTGCAAGTAAGATAACTCACTAAGTTTGAATCTATCTCAGTGTTTGTGTTCTTGTTCTTTTTGTAGTTTGTTTTCTCTTCTGTTTTTTTAAGAGCTTGCTCATCTCTGAGCATGTATGCTGTCCTTCTGCATATAGAGGAGAAATTTCTTCTCCTTGGTGATGAGCAAGTAATCTGAGGGATCAAAATATGCTTTCCTGAAGAGCTAGATGAATAAATGACCAAATGTTTCTATGATGTTAACTTGGTCTCCACCCTCTCAATCATATTCTGAAGGAGATGAAACTGCATTTGTCTCTTTGGCAGCAGTGGACAAGCAGGTGATTCAGAAATCCCCACACTTTTGTGGGAAAGACTGAAATATCCTTCAGAGATGACTTCACTACAGACACCATAGCGTTTTAAGAGACATCAATTTTTTTTCCATCTATTTTTCCCCTTAGTGTTTTCTCTTTAGTCAGTGATTGACTTACGAGCTAACAAAATCCCTCACAGGACCAAATCTTCCCTTAATCCCAGGGTAAGGATCCTGAATAGTTGAGAATTTACCGTTCCTTCCAAAAATCCGTGACTAAGCAAGGAATGGTTTTTAACATCCCTTAAAGGGATATGGCAATGCTTTTGATTTGCTGAAATTGATAGGATTCCTACCAACAGACTGACTTCTAAAAGGAGTTGAGATGCAATTGCTCAGCATGTCAATGTAATGGGAGAGCACAAAGCCCATGATGTCTTTTGGAAAGAGGTCTGCAACCTTCTGCCCATCACTATGAATGTGGTTTGGGGCAAGAAAAAAGGCCGTTTCACTTTAGTTAGTACAAGGCTACAGGACATTTCTTCCTTTCCTGTGTAGCAAATCTACTGTGAAGCATCATGTGTAGCTCAGTGCCACACATACATGCCTAAAGAGAAATTAATCTCCTGTCCCTGTTCTTCTGCTTTCTTGTGTGGCTGTGTGCCAGGTAGTGTTCAGGCATGGGAAGGGGCTTTTGGGTAGGCCACATGATGTCCTCCACCAGAGAAAGCAGAAGGTTTGTCTTCTCCTGTAGTCCTGATGTGGCCTGTGGGCCAGCAATTGAGCCATACTGAACCACGGGGGAAGATGCAAAAGTCGTCTTATTAATTGGAATCACAGGATTTGGCATTTCACAGCATCACTGAGCCTTTTCTGGAACGGTGTCTTCTGGCAGAATGTGTTTAGGACTTTCATCCTTCCCTGAATGGGAATACATTTCTTTGTGGTAGCTTTGCACCACTTCCAAAGATACAGCCCTTCATTTTGAGTAGACTGCTTTAGCGTTTTCCTGAAAACTGTCTGCAGTGGCTTCTATCCAGAGGGATGTTCTGTTGTACCATGGCCGACTATCTCATTCGGGCTGTGCTCTTATTCACAGTAGACTCTTGTGCTGTTTTGGGGCCTAGGCTGGGCAGTAAGTGAGAAGAGACTTCTTTCCTTTAGGACTTCTTTCCAGGGACTCTGGGATAAGTAAGCGTTTCCATCCTGGCATAGAAACTGCAAGATTAAGCTATTTATCTGGGAAAACTGATGCAGGAGTACTTACCTGTGTAGCCTGATGCATCTGTTGGCATGCGGAGTTGCAGGGAGTCAAGCAGGAGAAAGAAAATAAATTAGCAGTCTGTTTCCCTCTCATGGGATCTTGTCAAATTTGGGTCTTTGAAGCCTTTGGAGATCCTGCAAGAACAGCAATTACTCAAATGGGAAGAAAATCTGGATTCAACAGAGGATGTAAACACTCCCGGACAGGAAAAGTGCATGGTTGAGAATTGGATGTCATTTTTGTGCGGGTTGTGGTTTATGCTCATCTGACCACAAGTCAGATTTCTCATCTTTTGGAGACAGGGAGCCTCTTCTGAGACAGTGAGATGCCTTTTGTGGACTGTGTTAGAGAGTTGTCATGTTACTCTGCTGACAGTAAAGGTACTGTGAAATTTCGACCATCTGTTGTCTCCTCCTCCGCCTTCCAATCTTGTAGGTTTTTGCACATATGCAGTGATTGTGGTGAGGTAATATCTTCCCAAGTCCATTTTGCATGTGAGGTCTGTACAGGCTACAGTCGTCTTTAGAAGGCTGTGTCTGTGGGGGAGGTTTTCACTGGGTCCTTCTGAAGAATGTATCTGTGTCAGTCGTCTGTCATTTCAGTATCGGTGTGTGAACTTGTGATCTGGTCTTCACCCTTGTTATGTCTCTAACTACATATATATACACACACACACACC